TGTTAAAGTAAAAAGTAAAGTTTTTTTCAATAGCAACTCTAGCTTTATTTAATAGGTTTTGTGCTATGTATCGTGATCCATTCACAAATGTATGTGTCAGTTGATCATCCGTATGACCGTTTTTTAGTTTACTTAAATATTTTGCTAGATATGTCTCTGGATGACGCTTTTCTGTTTTGCTGAGAGAAGGCAGCTGTGCCAATAAATATTTAAATTGATCTTTTGCTAAACCAGTATGGTGCTTTATAATCACATCATCTAGATCTTAAAAAAAATCGAAGTTGATAATGGGTTTTCTTTCTGTATTGATTATTCCTCTCAATAGATTAACCATATCAGTTATTTGAGCTGGTGCAAAAATGTTTCCTGATTCTCAAGGAACCTCTGTCCAGTAAAAGTTATCGTGATCAGAACAGACTCTTGTATCTTGAGGGATGTAAAATTTAAAATCTTTTAATACTTGCGTTCTTATCTGCTGCGATACCCGGAGCCGTCCTGAATAACAGCCGAAAACGCATTGAGATTGTGTACTAGATGCTCTTGACATGTCAAGTCTGATACGATCTTTTGCTTCTTCAAAGCTTTCTTCGGTAGATTATATTATAATATTATCGTTATTTTTGGGCTATCTATTTTGAATAAATGTCTGCCAACATTTCTGACATACGGAATCATTTTTACTTAAGGAACTACTGCTACTGGATGGAAGCTTTCGAAAATAATCATAGGCTCCTTCGTTTATTTCAGAACCACAAAGAGTATATGTTCGAAAACGTTATCTATTTCTTTTGAGATTTATTCCACAAGAAAAACAAATAAGTTTTTGGCTAAGGCCAGTAGTTCTTTCAGGATGTTCCCGCACCAGAAGCTGACCACTTCCTCCTAATGCATTTGCCGCTTGCATCTCTTCCCCTTCAGGGCGGACTCCAGAGGCATTACAACGCATCGAATCTTTTAATCTTTTCGCCATGACGGCGTAATTTGCATCCAGGGGCTTAGCTGGTCAAAATCATCCTTCTGACCGTTACCACCGTCACCACGAGGAGGTGCCCTCGACACAAGAAGACTTGAGGTGCTTCAATATTAGGTACCAAGAAGAAATTTTTTTAATAAAAAAAATTTGGTGTCTCAGAATCATATAGTTGGACCTCCTTTAAAACCTTTTGCATTCAACGCAAGGATAAAAAAACACCTGATTGGTATTGTATTAATTTTGTACTTTTTATTGACATACAATTTAATTATGCACATCTATGGCTCAAAACCACTTTTGAATGGGACATAGATCTTTGTAAAAGCAAATTCAATTCGATGGTCAGCTCTTTTATTATGAAGTAAGTCGATTTATCCAAATCAGGAGCAGATTTTACTATTTTGTTTCGCAGAACCGCATTGAATTTAGAATACTTGAAAAAGTAATTAAAAAAAGCGTTATGTTCACTTGCTGGAAAATGCTCTGAGTTAAATTGAACTGACGAGAAAGATTTAAAAAAAATACGTGGTCTTACCATTATTCAATAACTAAAATCTTATGTTTACAAACAGAAATCGATGATGATTCATAAATAGTAAATAAAAATTTGTTTTAAATGTTGATTAAATTATTAAAAATCTTTAAATAGCAATTTTTATCACTGGTGCGCATTTACTTCCAGACAATCAACGGTCCCGAGAACACTTGCAAAACGGTGCCTGAGGTATGTTTGCAATCGCTCTGGCTGAATGCGTAAGCTGCTTGTTTATTAACAAATATTTTGTATTGTAGTCAAATTTTGTTCATGTTGACATCTTATATAAATGCTGATACCACGAAATCATACAACACTTCTTTTTTAGAAGTATCAAGGTATTGATACTAATATTTTTGAAAGTGTTTAGTTTTCCATACTCAAGTAATCTATACTATTTTTTAGTATCACAGATCTCTATGAGAAGTGCAATCAACGATAGTGGCGATGACTATCACAATTATTACTGTTATATTTTGATGTAATATTTTGATATCATTGAGAATGCAGTTATACCATGTAATTGAATAATATGTACTTTGTCAAACATTTCACGAGTGTAATATTATTATTTTAAAAAAATTAAAACAATTGAATTTCATACCAATAACGTTTATTACTTATAGGTATAAAGTCAATACATTTGCCTTTTGACCTGCATGAAAAAATGTATGTCTTTAACGTAATCATTTAAAAGATACATATTATTTAATCATGAATAGAAAATAGTGGGTTGTGAAAGTGAAGGGGGTAGGGGTTATGGGGGCTTTTAAACTTGAGGAGAGGATCTAGGGGCTACGGAGAGCTTTATGCACTGAACTAAAGTTCTGATAAATTAAAATAACAAACTAAGCGTATTTTAATTGCCTTACTTTGTAGGGGAACTCTGTAGTGAATACTGAGTACTATAGAAGACTTATATAGCCAATTCAACAAAAATAACAACATGATGTAGGAATACAACTACTGTTAGAGATCTGTCCTGCGTGTAGCTGTAATAAGGATTAGATCATACATTGTAGAGCTAAGATCCTTGCATGTTGACTTAACCTTAATTTACGATACTTATGTCATTTCCTGATGCACATAAGAGGAGGTCGTTTCAACACTGGTAACACACCTACATTGATGTACCGAAAAATGTTATAACAAATAAAAGCCTAAGGTGTATAAGAAATATAAGGTTTTTTTTAAAACTTTAATATCAAATATGTTTAATAAAAATTTTTTTGCAACAACGCATTTGAAAGTGAAAATTCCCAACCATTGAAGCATAAAAAAATCATATACAATCCACGGTCGCAGAAATGCAGAGGACTAAAATCGTTTTGATCGATACTTTGCAAAGTAATATCAAGTATGAATTTAAGCTGAGCAAAAAAAACAGCTCCCATAATCGTGAATCATGATAATCTACGTAAGTGTCTCTCGGTCTAGAAGTGGATAATGCGTATCAGAGCTTTCATTATAAGTTTTATTATATTTCGTTTGGTATAGCTTTAAGAGAAGTAATGTAAATAATGAGGTTATCAACAACAACGAATAAAAAATAACACACGCTCCGACATTGAAAGAGTTTTTACTAAATTTTTTTAAACAAGGCGTACGTTACGTACATTTGTTACGGTCAATTGCCGTTCACAATATACCATCTGTGTAACTAACTTATTAGATACGTAGCTTAAAATAAAACGTTTTGGACAGCACTTTCTTCACTCTTTTTATTGACAAAGCATACAAGCAGTGCCTCTTGCTCACGTTGTGTTTACGAATGACAGAAAACAATGATCAAGAAACGTAAAGTCGTCTTGTACAAATTTACATGTATCTTATTTAGTACAGCTTAGAAAAATAACAAATTTGTATTTAGCCTCGTTATTTTTTTATTATTCGGTCACACCAACGTAATGTAACTTTTTGTACACTTTTGTGATTGTATGATTTCAAGGAATGATTTTATAAATACATTTACACTGTTACGTGCGATTTTTGTAGTCTTGGACAGCTCACAAGGAAAAGACACTCAATTAATCATCACTTTTTTTTATTAGACTGTCGGTACTGCTTGACTAAAAATGCTCATGGTACAATGCCTCCTTTTCTTTTTATGCCCTTCCCTTGTAGCGTATAGTTCTGGCAAATAACTTAACGATAATTATGTGATTCTTTAAAGTCACTCGTCCTCTTCATTACACAAAACCATCGTTTATCGCTATAAATTTGTTTCATTCCTTCCAAAGAATTTTATGTTGACGCAGTAATTGCTTAGAGAAAAGGTCAGCAAAAAATAATTAAAATATTTTTTGCCACTACCGCACTTCTTTCTTGCTTTTGCTACGTATATTTTTTTGGTATTTACAGACCAAGTCTCGCAAGCACAAGAAAAAAACCGTCCAAGAAAGATTAAGTTGGAAAAAGTCAAAGTTACCACCTGCTTTGTATGCCTCTCTCTCTTTTGTTTTCATTATCTAATTATCTCTTACCAATCTTTTTTCCAATCCCCTCTGCCGCTTAAGTTTTAAAGGTCACTGGTTAACGTTCGTCCCTATCATCAAATCTGGTATTATAAATTTGTTCTAATCTACTCTTGCAAACGATTACGACGACCACTGTGTCGTACTAATTAATGCTTCGAAGGTATATACATATTTACAGGTTGCTAGTGAGAAAGTAAGAGAATAAAAGATAGAGAAATAGAGCGCCAAGTCGCATGTGACGAATGATTTTTTCTTCAAACTATCTACATAAGTTAAAATTTTTTTGCAGTAAGTATAAAAAATTCGTTGGATTATACGACCACAGTAATTAGATTCGATTTCTTTAGATCTAAGTTTTTACTTGGTCTTTTTTCGGCTGAAAAATCCGCGTACTAATCTTATAAATAAGGATGTTACTGTGACAGCGGGGTCCGTTGAACAGCCGTTAGAAAATGGTTTTTGGTAAAGTTAATCATTCGTAGAAAAGCTTGTTCGGAAAATTAGTTTTAGAAAGATGAGCGTGAACCAATGTGAACGCCTATCTTTTATGATTCGATGCTTAAAATTTTAACGGTACATTACAGTGTAGTTTGGAGTATTTAAAGACTCACTAGTAAGAAAGATATGATTTATTTAATTATATCTAACTTTGCGTTTATCTATATGCTGTACAAAACTATGCGAGACTTCATTTGGATACAAGATAATAACGATTCTCTCGTTTAACTCCTACAAAAACGTATGCGTAAAGTAAGGCTCACTGTGATCGCACGGTTTCATTAAACATCTAAGTGTGCAACGGGTGAGAATTGTTTAATTCAAATTAGAAATGTTTCAAGACAGATAAATACTTTTTAGTTCCCACATGACATTATAATTTAATAAAACATCATGGAATCAAACAATTTATCACTCGCTGATACCTATTTGGCTAAGGCACGCTGTACATAATGCATCCGTCGCACTTTATGTTCTCATCGTTTAGAGTTCCACTGCTCTCTATTGTCCTTTACGTTCACCGCACCACACTGTAACCAATCCACGCAAGAACCACCTGTCCCATCAACAGTATCGTCCAGACATTATTCGTCCCACTGATTGAGGCACTCGAGTTACCAAAGAGAATCCCGAATCTCAGTCCTACACTACGGCGTAGATGCAGCCTCAGCTGTGGATTCCTCATACTCGTCGGACCACACTGCATCAGCGGGGCATCCCACAGGTGTTTGTCCCTGCTGCCAAGCAGCAACGAGTACTGTCCGTACCAGTCGACGCTGATCCTTGCCCGCAGACCCAAAGTCGATGGCGATTCCAGAGAGTGGGGGACGCAGCTGGACGGCCAGTTTGACATCCTGAGATTCTTAGGTGGTGGTCCCTCGGGAAGATTCGCGCCGCACCGTTTAGCCAAAGCTACGTCGCCGGCGATCAGGAGGCTCTCGGCCACGTGCAGATCCAGCTCGGTCGTACCGGTTGGGGCGGGCGAGGGCAAGGGCTTGCGCGTCGTTTCCTCCCGGCGTTGGTTGCCGCGTAGGACGGCAGCTAGCGACTCAGCCATCGAGGGTTGGACGCTCTGGAGCAGGTGACGGTAGTAGTCGACCTCGTCGAGACTGCGCTTTCGCCTATTGTCCCTGGACAGCTCCGAGCTCCCGCCTGTCACCGAAAGTGGTACAGTTCCCGTTATCGCATCGAGTTTCTCCGGTCGGCCAGATCTGCTGTCACTCTGGCTGGGTGTCGTTTCAAGAGCTTGCCGCCTTTCCCTCGTCAACAGCTTGTCATCTATCAAGCCGGTCTCGTCTATGACACTGGCATCGTGCCTACGGTGGCGGCGAGCGCGTTGTACATAGCTGCAACAAACAGGGATTTTTTTGTGTGTAAAGTTACTGTTGAATCAAATGTTAATGTTTTTTTTTTTAATGGTTTTCTAAAAAATATTTTAGCATATTAATAAAATATTCCAACTATTTCACGACTATAAAGTAATTTTCTGTTTATTTAAAGAGAAAGTAGATAATTTTTTCAAAACAGTTAACACAGTAAAAAGTTGTCCTTTTTACGATAAACTCATAATTACGTTAAACAGAAAATTGTAGAACTAAAGATTTTTTCTACGAAACCAGGGATTTGAGATGAATAATGATATTCGGAAGCGAAGTTATATCTCAAAATAAAGAGACATATCAAAGACAATTATAGAGCTGAATGGCTCGTAAATAAAAATGTAACTTATTTAATTGATATTTGGGTACGAAGATATAAAAAAAAAATATTTTGAAAATTTGAAGACTCAACGGACATAGCAGTAAAGACATGAACGTACTTTTAAGAATATAGGGAACCCAAGATAGAAACCTAAACTAAGAAATGGTTTAAGATAAAAATAATGTAGTTATCTAAACGAAAATCAAAAGATAGGATTGAAACAAACATTTTGAAACATAAACTTGGTGAACACGTATAGTAAAGAGAAAATTACCATTAGATGGGATAACCTCAGACGAAAAAGAAAGGGATACGAAGACTGAAGCATGTAACGTTAACAGTATAAATATAACGGCAACAACTGACTTAATGAAGCGAAATTTGAGAGAAAAAGACACTTAAAACCGTTATAGAAAAAAAAAAGACAAACGATGAAAACAGAGACAAAAAAACAAAGATGTAGATCCGAAAAACGAAAATTAGAGGATGTGGATACAAAGTAACTGAGCAGAATTGCCGTAGGACTCTAAAGTTACAGTAACGAATAATAATACAAATAGATGAATTACATATAAGAAGATTTAAGAATGATTCAAGAAAGAAGAGATAGACTTTCGAAACTAAGACAATGTACAATACACGAGTCCGTACACGATAAAATCAACAGATAACCCAACAGATAATTATCTGCTTTTTCTATAAGTTATGTAACTTTATTTAATATGATGTACCTGCCCGCTGCGGTGATGCCATAAAGGTAGGAGCTGCAGCGCGAGTCGCTGAAGTAGTCCCAGCGTCCGGTCCACAACTTATCGCCAGCAAAGATTCGTAGTTGACGGCGTAGCCAGACACCACCTGGATGGCTTTCGCATATCGGACTTATCCAGGAACCACCGAGGAGTGCAGGAAGAGCCACGACTTCGTGTAAAAGGGGGGGACTGTTTTCCGTACCACGAAAAATGGCACCACAAATGGGGCAATTATGTATCTGAAAATAAAAAAAAGGTTCGATGAATTTTCATTAGAAAAATTTCACTGTTGTAATTGAATGATTTGTCTATTGAAATTTGAGCGTATGACAATTGTTAATCGATGCCAACAAAAAGAGCCATCCATTTATACTTGAGAGTGACACTGACAAAAGTATAGACGACTAGAATGGAAAAATTAATGAACCTGTCCAGCATGACTGTCATTATTCATTTTCTCCAGACAAGCATCTCTCCTAAACTCATAAATAAGTTTTTCCAAGTACAGATGAAGTGATACGAATAATTTATTGGCATGTCAGATTTGTGGTTCGGTACAGTCTCTTACATCTAAAAGTGATTATGATCTTCCATAAGTTTTGATCTACTTATAATTCAAGCGGAGATGGACAAAATAAAAATAAACTTTCTAATCTTAGAGAGTAACTCCAATATCAACCGTTTATTTAGACTCTAGTAATTGTAATAGCACAAAAAAAGTCGAATGGTATCTGAACACTAATGTACTCTTTTTGTAGCAAGATGAAAAATCTATTGGTTTTTGAAGGAAAAATCGTACGTAAAGTGAGAACTACAGGACAGACTCTTCTAAAAATTCTCACGGTTAAAAACACTGCTGTTGTACAAGGTGTTTTAGTATAGATCAACCATGCCATATGGGCCCTTCTACTATTTCAGAGTGGCGAAGGAATATGTGTGGGTAAAGGGATCGGTAGGCGTGGAATAATATTATCTTAGACTACCAGGTTGTACGATGTTCTCAAATAACCTACCAACTTTTCCGAACTTTTGGATTAGTAGAAAAAAAAAAACAAAAAAAAACAGAGTCTTCTTCATTTGAGTATGTAGTGGAAGTAGTAGATCATTCCTTATACTAGTTAAAGTAGTTAAAATTGACAGTTCAAATAAAGTTCTTTCAATTTGAAAGAATTAAAGGTTAAAAAAAAGTAAACTCACAGTATCGGTCCTGAGCAGTGCGGTGGGTTGCAACGAGGTGGGCCTGTGCGACCTCTTGGACACGTGATCGGGTGGCAGACTTCCCAGGAACAGTTCGATCCTCGGTTTTTCACTTTTCCCGAGGCTGGCTGACCTGAATCCAGTTGGCCTCCTTTGCACCCTGATCAGCCGGAGCTCGTTAAAATCAATGTTCAACGGCTCCAAGCAGTCAACGCTCTTGCTGCGCAACAGTCCACTGCCAATGGGCAGTCCTTGGTCCTGGTGATGGCCATGCTGGTGGTGAAGGTGATGGTGGGCGTGTTGCTGCTGCTGTTGCTGGTGGGCCAGGAACGAGTTGTACCGCGGTCCTTGGCCAGCTGTCGACCAGGACGAGCGTTCAGGTGCGCGCTCGTAAACCAGCTGAGCCGAATAAGGACGCCAACGCGGCTGAGGCCCGCACGACACGTTCACGCGATGACCTAGTTTGTGAGCGACCTGTTTTTTTTTTTTTTTTTTCGTTCACAATGGAGAGAAAAGGGATGAAGATTATTAATACTCGTGAGGTTGCATTTTCATTGTGTCGGGAGGGTCGCATTAGATGAAGAAAGAGAGGGAAATATTGTTTTTCTATTCTCCATCGTCTAGCACAGGTATACGTTTTACGAGAAAAAAGGCTTAATGATTGCCGTTGGGGGAGACTAAGGAAACGAGTTGGGCTTGACTGAGGCCATGGCATTTTTCGGTCCAACTGCTTGAAATACGAGTGGCGTTTCTACTTCTCCAGTTGGAGAACATCTGTTGCACTTTGTTAAAACGCGTACTTGAATAACAAATGTAAAGGAGTACAATCCCCTGGACTCGATTAAACCGAAGCAATATAAAGAAAACAAATGAGTTGCCGGCAACAAAAAATCACAAATGAGCATATATCCGAAATTAGATTTGAATCGAAATCAGCGTCCACAAATGGAAATAATGTTCATCACTACGTACCCGTTGGGCGGAGGTAGAAGAGAAAAATACACGTAATCATGCAAAAAGCTGCCGTCGAGGAGCAGCGGCATCTTACCTGGCGATTGAGCGGCGAGACGTGAACGGTGTCCAGCTGATACCGCGCTTCGGTGGCACCTGGCGTCACCAGAGAGTTGCCAAGGATCTTGATGACGCCTCGGGCCGTCACTGTGTGCGTGGCTATGCTGCACGACTCCTCGGCGTAGTAATGGCGCATTAGCAGGAAGGTGCCGTTCTCGAAGAACGTGTACTTGCGGATCACGTACTCCGGACCCGTGCGGATCTCGCATCTGCAACGACAAGGAAAACAATCACGTTATCTCCGATATTTCTCAAACGCGTGCTCGATTCGCTCAACTTCAAATGTTACGGGAATCGTCACAATACAGAACAATGAAGTCTAACACGCCACAGAAAAAATATCAGATGAAACAAATGAGCCATGGATATTAAAAATTGTATATTTTCTATAAATAGTGACATATCGAGATACATATACAAGACTAGTATCCATAAATAACAGACACAGTTCGATTACATATTGCTTTGAAATTAATTTAAATTGTCATAATACTGTCACCATTGGAAAAATACTTTTACTGTGTCTAAAGCACATATGGAGACAAATGAAATCCTAAGGAGACTTTTTTTGTAGTGGTTCTACAAAGATTTGATATTTTATTTATTCTACATTATTCGACTCATGGGCCGTTCAATACGCGTTTGGAAAATCAATAAGTGACAGATACCAGTAGTAGAATGTGCAACCCAATCCATATCGACTTCTAAGCGTATCATCTTCCGATGCTTCTCTTCAATTCCTTTACCCATTCCACTTCTTATCGATTGATCGTCAAAGGCTTAACAAAATATTTATGCAAATATACTGTGACACAACCGCATTCAATCTCCTGAATAAACGTAATCTAAAAACGTATTTTTACGACTTTCATTCCAACGGGGTAGTCGGCGCCTACAGGTATGGGATGAGGATCGACTAAAAAATCTTCGTCACCGGTTACACTGTGTATTCTCGAGAAAGAAAAAGAGGAAAGAGAATGCAAGGACAGCAAAAAACCATCCATCACGTGCAACATAATGTACCTGTGCATTATTTCGGTTCTACTTAGTCTGGGAGTGATAGACAAGCGTCATGGACAAACTCGTTACATAAAAAAAAAAAAAAAAAAAAAAAAGAGAGAGGAGATAGACAGTTTTCCCGAACACGCTCTCGTTTCAAACGATCGACGCTGGGGAAAAAGAACAAAGAGGGGCAAACTAAAAAGAGACGGGAGAAAAGCGGGTTAGCGCGCTCCGAGGTGCCTCGGTCGAGGATTATTGTTCGGTAGGCGTCATTCCCATTCGTGACGATGAAAATGCACGCTTTTCGAGGAAAGGGCCTACAGCTTCACGTGTCAGAGCCGAGTTTCCATTGTGTCGCTCCCTCCCTTTCGTTTTTTTTTTTTTTTTTTGTTTTTTGGTTCTTATGTGCTGTGTTTATACACGTATACCTGATAGGAAAATAGCATCGAAGTACGTGAGCATAGAAAGGGAGAGAAAAAGAAGGAGGAGGAGGAGGTTGTTTCTTTTTTTTCTTCTTATTTTTTTTCCTTATACCTGGACCAGCTGAAGTACTTTGCGTCCATTCAACAAGTACCAAACGAGCGAGGATGGACGCTCTCTTTTCGTTTTCTAAGCCCTGCCCCGATACATGGGAGTACTAAGGCTAGGTGGTGTCGGAGAAGCAAGTGAGCAAGGACTTTTTTGGGATGGGTCGTTGTTTTGGTTTCTCGGAGCGTTTGTTGGAAAACTTTCTGGGAAAATTGGTTTTTATTTCCCCTCCCTCATCTCTCTCTCTTTCCCGTCACATGCTGTGATCTTACGAAATTTAAAACACTTGAAATAAAAAACCTTTTTTTTCCAGAATCAGAAGGATCTCCTATAGTTCTGTGAGATATTCTAAAAAAATGTGTATGAGTCGATTACAGAAGTATACATACGTGAAACAGCTCTAATAAACAACGTAAATGTATTTTACATCTGATTATAATTTACGAGACGATACGTATACGAAGGAAAAAAATAGGAGCGCGAGGAGAACCGGTGTACATCATCGTCGTCGTCATTGGCGCGTATATAAAAGCCAAAAAAAATAACGTAATGATACTTTAAATGAAATATTTATATGAATCGTAACGCTCATTAATAGCCTTTTCTTCAAAGGCGGCACACCGCTGTTTTAACTCCATTGGAATATAACGACGTGTAACAGCAGCAGGTACTTAAAGACCCTTAGGCTTTTAAAATACATTGACGGCGAGCCAGGCATCGTCGAAAAGATGACGAACGGATAAATTCATCCATACACGACAAGTTCCACAAAAAATATTCTAGTTAGGAGTCTCCAGTTTTTTAATATGTTAAGAAACATCAATATTTTTTAGTAAACTTCGTCATGCTGGAGAAAAAGAGTCGTGAAGTTGATTCTTGATTGACGACTTGAAACATTTTCTGTCGATTTTGTCACAAACAATAAAAAAAAAACAAAAAATTGTATTAAATCATTTCATCATGAAATTACAAACAAGTATGACTATATCCTTTAAAACTCCAAGGGGCTCCATCTATTTTCAATAAAGTGGGCTTTCTTGAATTTATCGTGTCATTTTCAGATGAATCAGTATTGTCCTGGAAGTATACCTCCACAACTATTACCTGATTTTCATAGACTCTCCACTACAGACATTTTTTACTGCTCACTTGTGAGAAAGAAAGTCGAAGAAACTCAAGTGGTGGTGATACTTAGTCCATTCATTTTGCCATTCGAACAAATAAGTATACACACTGCGTGTTTGCGTGTAATGTACGAGAGACAGAAAAAAAAAAATGCTTTTGGAGGGGATATCTTTCTCTCTTTCAATCGTACGTGGCATTGCAAATCAATCGACACGATCTGATGCGCCCATTCGATTCCAATTGTCCATATAAAATACTCATTCGCTCGTGTATACTGCACACCATCACTGATGATTCCAATTAACATTCGCAAGTTTAACGCACGTTCAAATACTCTGGCAATTTAAACCATACACGTATGTTTATTTTTACATACTCATACTTCTTCTCTCTCCTGTCCTCCTTACTTCAATACTAATATCTGCTCGATTCGATTGAAAGACACCTCTTTATTAAAAGTTTTGTTTCATTATATTTACTTCAAACGCGTAACATACGTAACGATCACGTCAAAATGATGCAAATGTAGACGGAGGCGAGAAATCGTGGCGTGAAAGTGTAAAGAACAGGACTCATTGTTTTGCATGCGCAAGTGCGAAGCGCGAAACGCGCGTCAAATGACAATGCGCGTACTAAAGTCCGGTAGGCTCGTTCTCGGCGATTCACGTCGTACATGCAAATGTCGTGGAAGTACCTTCTTTTGTCTTTCTTTCGCTGGGAACGTGAGGTGATTCGTTCATTTGCAGGTTTTTGTCTTTTTATATACTGGCTCGGCGATAAGAAGGTGCGAAAGGTGAGCCTTTTTTTTGGCCATATAGTTTTTTTGGAGTGACGGATAGAGCTTTCTCCTAAAATCTAATGGGTTGATTTGCGATTTTCTTTACTTGTTTGGAGAGCTGTTTCGTTTAATTTATCAGCTTCATTGAACAATACTGCGCGCAAATGGGCCATTCGAGAGTCGTTTTGCTGATTGGAAAAAAAAGAGGAGCAAAACATCTTGCGTCTGATTGAGGGAATCATTGCTAAAAATCACTTGCATCGACTCGAGTGTCGGTTACGTCTTGTCAATTCGTTCCAGTTGAAGAGATCATCGACGCTTACTCGAGTGTCATTGGAATTGATTGCACGAATATGAAGTGTCGTTTGATGCACCAAACTTTATTGATACCCACAGTTACATCGTATAACAGATCTCCATGTATACAAGACAATAACTCTCCAATACATGTAAGATCATGAGATATTTTGATAATAGTAACATTTATTAATTTTTTTTTTCAAAAGTTTTTATCATCGATAAATATTAATTTCCACTCAAAATGCATTATCAGTACATATTATCCCGACTACTATGTTTTAAACGTACAGATACTTATATAAGGTCAATCACTAATATTTATTTAAAAATGCAGCTTTTATACGTATAAGGTTTTGCATGAAAAATTCTATTTGGTCCGTTTTGTATGATTTAAAAAAATAATCGACACCTACTTTTCTTTTTTCTTAACAATAAAAATTAAAAAAGATATGGTATCTAAGAACTGTGGTATTTTAAAAGTTACAAAAAAACATTATATACATATGAAGTTGTGACGTATATATATGACACGTGTATATTCTACAATTACTTATGTACGAAAAAAGTGAGCCCAGAAACATTAAAGACGATTTAAAACTTTTAAAGATACAGCGTTTTGAAAAAAGTGCCGAGCATTCGTATAATCTCAAATAACTTATAAACAGTTATATTAAATTCGCTCAAAAGGTATCCTTGTCTACACAATACCAAAACCAAGTATTACTGAAAATTTCAAGAAAAAATTTTTATTTTTACTCAAGTTACAGTAAAAAATCAAAATGCCTGTTTTTCGCATCTATTATTAAGACGTCTCATACACAAGAAGTATATCTATAGCCAAGGGGCGATATCTTGTAAAATTAAAAAAAAAAAAAAAAAAAAAACACGTGTTGATAAATTTTCAAAATTATACAAGACGGACTAAATATAATTTTTCATGCAAAACTCTAATTGCGTCATCACTTATTCAAAATTGTTTTTAAACCGATTTTTCATAACATTTGATGCTAATTCTTTTCATGTTTAAATATATGAAAAAAAAAATAAGTAAAATTTGCCGTCTGTTCGAGTATGTGGACGCGTCATAAGATCCGGGTATTTTCTTGAGTTTACGGTGTCATAAATAATCCAATAAAAGTAATTTTACTCGGAACGCATTAAGTACACGTTTGCACAGTTGCTGTGGCACGCGCCTTTGCCAGGTGCTCGCTACAAACATCGACGCGTGGATGTCAAAAAAAAAAAAAAGTTAATAATATTAAACTTACTCTTGCGATATCCAAGTTGCGTGTAATCTGAAGGCCGTCTCGTCCACTATCGTCGCTCTGTCCTCGTTGACGATTTCCCTGATGGCTACGTCGCACTGGTCCTCCTCGTTTGCATCCCAGAGAGCCGAGATTTCTAGAAACAGAAAAATTGACACGAATGAACAATGATATTCGTGAGGAACGTTGAGTCGAGTAAAGTTATTACAAAACTTTTGGAGCTCAATGTATAAGTTTGGTTTTCAGTTGTAACATACGGTGAGTTTTTGCTGGGAGGGAGACGATGGAAAGTAAGTACTCGGTTTTCGACAGCATACCGATTACAGAGTGGAAAATTATTGCTTCAGTTGTTTTACTAGTTGAAAATTCAGTTGATTAAATTGCAACAACATCACACAATTTGAAGGGTAGTTATTTTAGTTAACAAAAAAATAATAATAAATAAATTAAACAATAGGTTTTATGGTGCAAGGGGTCATAGGGGTTACAGGATTGTAAACAGTTATTACAAATAAAATTTAAAAATCGATTCGCTCTTGCACGTTTTCTGAAAGAAGTGTAACGAAAAGGGGCAAGAGAATTATTGCCCAACACGTAAGTACACGGAGGTATACGGCTTGCAGCCATGCGTCATTCCCTTAAGATGACAAATTCACTGTAAAGCCCGGCAATAATTTATACCCGGCACAGTTGGAGGAAAAAGCTGAGAGTCCAAAAGAGAGAGGGGCAAATTAAAATCCCAGAAACGCAATCAAACGACACAATCTCACGGCCATAATTCAAATCGCGGGAGTGTGCGAGGGATCGCCCCCCCCCCCTTCCAGCCAAAGCAGAAAGGATCAGTGACTAAACGATTCAACCTGCGCATTTCTTCGGCAGCCCTCCCCATTGGGTTCAACTGTATATACATACATGTGCTGTAAAAGAGTGCAGCGAGAGCTCGGTATCGAGACAGCAATTTGACAGCACTGCCAGGAGCAAAAAGAAATAAGGATGTACGTCCGCACAAATATACGAGACAGCAGCGTTTGTGCGAGTCGATGGACAAGCTAACAAAGTGGAGTAGAGTAGTGGAGCAAACTAGGAGGGTTAAGCGGCAGAGAGAAAGAGAGAGAGCGCAGGTATAAATGTGTACATATTAGGTGCCCACCCGCTGGGCTACCGGTTCTGCCCTCTTCCCCCCCTCCCCTCTCGCAATCCCTGATTTAGGACTCCCGAAAGATCCACCCGCAGATACATGTATACATATGCCCCTTCCACGTGATGCTTAGTGGGAACCATGAATATATACATGTACATTGGATCATCGTGCCGATCGACCTTCTCCGTCTGCCTTACCCTACCCCCTTGTGCGTCCTTTATTCCTTTTTCTGCCCACGTCAACCTCGTGCACTTTTCCGTGTCACTCGGTCCTTTGTGCGTTGTTTTCCCCACGTGAGCTGCTCTGCCTACACCGATTTCTCGCATTTTCGCGCCAGAAGAGTCGAGCTCCCCCCACCCTACTCTCGGAAAATCGACGCTCCTCTTTTTTGTTGTTCGTGAAATCCCTGAACGTTCCCCAGAGACCGTTTCGGCTCCCTTTTTTTGTGTCCCGTCCACGCACTTGCCGCCGAGGCATATGGGATATTCAATTAGTGCCGAGGCCGTCTTTGTGTGTTTTTTGTCGGCGTTCACGGAAGAAAAGGGAGTTTTGACAGTGCGCTTACATTCGCAGATTGGACGTTTTTCCGACTCTCGAGGGGCGGGTCTGTCCGTGGGGGACGACGAGCTTTTCCGGCAATCGTAAGATTTTCACGCTCGCCGTGGCATTGGGCAAAATATGGTGCCCTGTTGTCCGTACACGAGGGTTTTGCGTTGTCTCGTGTCACAATAATTCAAAGTTACTCGCTTTTGATCATTTCGTGGCAGGATGCATTGCCTAAAAATGCATTATCTCAATTGGTGACAAGACTGCAGATTTTACTCATTTGATCAATACGTCATTTGCAATCTTGCTGAAACATTACATTCCGTTGTACTTTACAACGTCCTTTTTTACATTTTCATAAATGTAAAAAAATCAATCGTTCGTATAAATTGTTCGAACAAATGAACCCAAAACTTTAAACATCGTTTTTTTATACATTTTAGAGTATTTTAAGTATGAAATTCGTAACTTTTTAAGAACATAGATTAGTTTCTTCTTAAAAAATGGGTATCGCACGTGGTAGTAAGCAAAGAAAAAAATCTAGAAAAAATTATGCGTCGTTTACTTTCTATGAAAGTAAATTACGTGATTCTTCATCAATTGTTTTTTTCATTGCTTATGCTGTTTTTCTCAATGCAGAGATAAAATTTATTTTTACGTGGCGTAATAAGGTGCCATCGTAAAATTTTTTGTGAGGGTATTATAGTTTCACATTTTCGATTTAGAGAGTATATTGTTCTGAATACCCAACTACAACAGCTTTAACGAAAATGAGGCCTGAGAAGTCCCAGTCTGCCGTTCAACGGAAAAAAGGTATAAGTGACATGAGAGATGAACTGGGAAACTCAATGAAAACTAAGTGTCTTCAAAAATTCATGATAATTTGAGTATTGGACCGCGGAAAAACTGTTTTTTATATAAATATGGTACGATCTTTCTCTTATTTAATTTTCTCGTAAAAAAAGGGTGAGTGTAAAAATACAGCTTATTCTAGGGGGTTACCCTTTTTCTATTTTGGAATCCAAGCCGGTGTTCATTGACTTTACAACGTGAAAAAAGGGTAAGTGCCCTTACGATGTCTGCCTGGCGCGATTTGCACGTTTTATGTCACTTAACCTTTTTTTTTTTTTTAACGCTGACAAAAATTATAAGCAATTTTTTCAATTTTCGTTATATTATTACAAAATCACGGTATAAGATATTTAATTTGTAGATATGTTATTTGACGGCAGCAGCTTATTCACGTCATACAATCGTATAGAGAAAATACCTAAACATACCGAATCTCGGAAATCCAAATTTTTCCTTGAGAATATTGTACCTTTGTGAAACGACAATACTAATTCATGCGTATTGTTTTTCAAAACCAACAATCGTTCCAAAAAACCCAAGCCCTCGTGTCAACGTCTCATACAAGCCTCCAAAAGCGAATCCAATGGACGGCCCCGTTGTTTTCTCCGCTCCCTGGAGCGTTGTTTTTCACCCGCACCGGCCAGATCGATCTATTGTGCCCATTGTCCATACACATATATACCTTCACCGACAGAAATCACCCCCCCTCCCCTTAATGGCTTTCGTATTGAATCGACCGCGGGATACGTCCAAGTGATCGATCTCGAAAACTCTTGCGGTACACTTTCTTCTCCCTCCATCGCCCATGTGTATATGTGTGTACACATATTGTACAACAAGCCGGTACTGCCGGTAGTGGAGAACAAAAGACCACCGAGACAACGGTATTAGTGGATTCGAGAACTGCGGCATTCTCCGAGTGAAAAATGGAGCGCCGAGGGATTTTCACCTGAGAAAATAGGGCTGCTTTGTCGCGGTGTAATTGCGCGATTCGGTGCTCTTTGCTTGTGGCAAAGGTCGGAAGGCGATTACAAAGGAACCACGAGCGTAAGTTTTCGATTCATTACGTCCATTCGATGGCTGCGGGGCCCAGGAGCCGGGGAGGGTAAATATTATCCTTCGGCTGCTACCGAGGAAAATCGTCGAGTGTTTGCTCCCCCGTTGGGTCAGGCGAAATCCAGTGTTGGTTGTTGTTGTTTTTCAAGATTTCCCGTGTTTTTTGAGCCACTCGGAGAACCGTCTAATTGGGCGGTCGATTCGGCCTCCCTCGCGGGTAAACAGATACCCTCGGTGATTTCCCGGTTGAAAGACGCTCCTCGATTTACCATAGGGGAAACCCAATCCCCTGACGGGGCATATTTGTTTTCTTGCAATTTTGGACGCCCGAAATTCAAGATTATGCAACGAGAGGACCCACACCCCGAAGCAAGAAAAAGGAGAAAGAAGAAAAAACGATGGGCAGCTTCTCCGTTTCGGCGCCATGTGGGCCCCCGAAAAGTGCAAAAATTCGTGGCGCACATGACACCCGGCACATTAAGCGCTAAACGTCTGCGACGCCAGCAGCATCCGAGAGGACCATCGTTAGCTCGGTCGGGCGCAAAAAACGCTGCAGCAGGGGCTTCTTTCTTTTAGGGAAAAAAAGACGGAGAATCGAGAGAAAAGAAAAAAAGGGGGGGGGGAAGGACACTCGAGATTGTCGCCTTGTTTTGGCTGGCAAACATGTGCTTCTCGTATACGGTGCCCATATGGTGCCCATCGCTCGGGTTCTGCGACGAGTTTTGTCAGTTGGCGGGTGGAGGAAAAATGGAACGATACACGACGTGGAGATGGATATAGGGTGTCGAGGGGGTGCTCCACGCATGTTCGAGGTGCACGAGGAATGTCCCGAAAAACGCGGAGGCGGTGCCGAATAGTGCCTGGCTTGTTCATCATTCGAGATTTAATGGCCTGTCGTCTTTCTTTCTCAACGTCGGTGTGCCACCGGTTGCCGAGAGATTAGGAGAGGACATTTTTTTTCTTTTTTTTTTTTAGACACGATACTTGCGCAAATTGAAAAGGAAGTGCGTAGTGCTACGCTCTCATTTACTTTTTTTCAAAAAGAAGGATCACGTGTTAATTTTAGAAAACATCGAAATTTCCATGATACCGATCTTGTAACCGATAATTTGCGGGTTCTTTCGTTCCACGGAAATACTTTGTCACAAAAGATCAAAAGTCGTCCCTCGGCACGTTCAGACCTTTTTGTGCCGACTAGAACTCGATGTCACTTGAAAAAGTCCTCGATCGGCAAAAAATGACGAGAAAAAACTAAGAACCCGTCCATCCGCCGTACTGACACTGTAGTTTCGATCGTAATCTCACGTTGGCGTATATAAAATGGGAACAAAACGACTTCTCGGTGGAGACCTGCGATTCGTAGGAAAAAATCCGCGATGCCCCGAAGGTTCGTAAACTATGGAATTAAAATTCAGTGCGAAGAGGGAGAGAGCGTTGGGCGAAGAGGCGCAGATCGACCTCAAGATATGGCGGTGTTATACTGTGACAACGGCGGATAGATAAGAGGGAACGTGGTGTATCGGGGAACTTGAGATCGGTGGCGAAAGTTCAAGGCGGATGGCTGTGGCGTGCCATTATACGACAGCCGTACAGCCCACGTGGCTCTGGGCCGATAGCGGCGCGCGAGTTAAGTGCTGGACAGCGGAGAGAACGTAATCGGGCGCTGCAGTAACATGAGGATTTTGGTACAGGGAGACTTGGACACAATGGTTTTATGGATTGATAAGTACTTGGAAGAAAATTTTTTAAATAACTTATCAAATAAGGTGCATCAATTGCACCCAAAAAGTGTTTTTTTACTCGTCACTTTTTTCTCAATACAATACCGAGAAACAGTTTTTCTCTACCAGATCAGTGCAGTATATTTCAGATATCAAATTTCGTTGCAAAGTATTTCAAAGATTCTTTGTTAAACACTTTTTTGACTTTTTTTAACAAACAATTATATTTTAAGAAAATTTTTAAAACGTCAGCAGGTACCCAAGTCTGGTACGTAGGTACTTAATACCCCTACCCAAGGAGGAAATGGTAGTTTTCGTCGGATAAGCACCATCGCCTCTGGGGCTATTTTGCGGCCCGAGGGTCCGTAAGGTTGCCCCGGAGGGACGGAGCTTATGTGGCTAATGCTATTTTTCCTACCGAGGGCACACCAGCCTCTCAAAAACGCCCGAGGTAGGAAAAAGAACTTTGACCGTTTACTATTACGGTTTTCTTCTTTTTCCCAAAATAATCATACTTTAATAACTATTTTTCATTAATTAAACTACAACAGTTGTTAAATTTGTCACTCATTCTTTGCCAGGACGCAAATCAATCTCGGCGTTACCGATTGGATTACCGATCTTTATCCGCGTAATGCGACGTTTCCAACATGTTATGTATACATGGCTGTATGCTTAGCTACAATCATTTTCACATAAATATTTCCACCCAAAATAAAGCTCTGCCTCACCATTGCATTCGTCACTGAAGTACAAAAGGCACCATAAATTTGACAATTGATGTATATCAAAGCATTTTCATCTCTTTAGGTGGAAAAAAAAATTTTTTTTATCCCACCACTCCTCCTCGTTCGTGCGATGGTCCAACGCAGGTTCGTAAGCATAGCACACCATTCATTACCCTTGGAGTGATGGATGAGAGATTCCCCTTGCCAAGAGCATCGACGCTCAACAGAGTTCTTATGTACGTATATATACCATTGCCATACTAAAGCACTGCAACTCGGAAAAGAGCCTTACGTATATATATATATATAGACACGCAGCCGGCCGTGCAGTCACCGATGGAAAATGACTCTGTATAACGGTGCGCTTTTTCCCAAGGCTCTCGAACGTACACGTATCTGTTACGGGGCTTTCTACATCTCTTGGCGATGGTTTCTTTTTTTTTCCATACAGTCCGTGTACAGCTGACTCTCTCGCTCTCCTCCATCGGAGGGTCTTGCGCTTTTCCATCGCTTCTACCGATTTTCTTTAAGTGCCATTGTGTCCCTCTCTCGTGGATTTATGACCGATACCCATTGGGAGAAAGGTGCGTGTGTCATACCCGCGCGTACGATCGCGATGATCAGACGGTGCGTGTTTTCTCGCGTGATCGGTACATGCTCAGGAGAGCCCGTGGCTTCTAATACAAGTACATAATATATTACACGCGTGTTGGTGTGTACATACCTATCACCTATACGCATTTTTAACTTGGCGAGGCGTCAACGAGCGCGTGAAGTTATGCAGCAGCTAAAGGTTTCATTGTACGCGTGCGTTGATGAAAAAAAAAAAAAAATACGAGGCTGAGCCGCTTTTTTGGCAGTTTGTCGGCGATTTTTACTGCAACTTTTGTTTTTGTACCGTGACAACGATACAGCTGTGTTGGGTTGTTGGAAGGGTGTTTTGCGAGTAACGATTGATGCATCGCGATTACTTTACGAGAAAAAGAAAAACAGGGGTGCATAGTTTGTTGCTCTTATTGATATGGTATGGGCTCCGATAGGACGCGAATCATCTGGTATACCCATACGACATACGCAAACGTGCATTGAGAGGACTGATTCGATGATTTTTTTTTTTTTTTTTTTTTTTTGTAAGATCTAATCAAGTAAGTATTTTCAGGAATGTTTCTGTAACGAAGGTATGTAAATAAGAGGATCTTATACCTATCAAGATGACGAAGACGAGTTGGCTTGATGGTTTTACGAGTTTTTTTTATTTAATACAAAATCACAAGTAAAATGAATTGCTACGATTCTTATACGTAATAGTCTATGCAGACAATACAGATAAAGTATTTATTCAATTAAAATAATTTTTAGCTGGACCTCGCTTTTGCTTTTTTGATGATTTTTTAAAATGCTTCCGAAAAAATAATAAAAATCGTGTGAAAAGTTGCGCTTTTGAGTAAACAGTTGTGCTTGACTTAAAATTTTTTTTTTTTGTGAGGCTCCTATTCAGAATCAATCAAAGAATTAAAAAAGCTTTGTGGAACTAAAATAAGATTAAAATAAAAAACTTGGCAGATTAGTTGAACTTTTAAAATCGGCACAATACTCTAAAAACCGATTCTTTCAATAAAGCATACATTTTTTTTTCCTCCTGACATTATCAAATGAAATTACGCAAATTCATCGAGCCACCTTGATTTACCACAACTCCGTCCCGAGGAAAAGCATTCCAATGAAACCTAAGTAACTTTGCACAGTAAACTCTTCAAAGAAAATCGCGACACGTCGAAGCTTCTGAGATGGACAACCGTGAACTAGGGGGCAAAAAGAAGGGGAGCAAATTAAAACCAAAGGAAAAAAACTCACCATTGACAAGCGTCAGGAGCAACAAGACCACGATCAGGAGACCATCGCAACCTCGCTCGGTCATTTTACGGCCAGCGACTCCCATCTTCCGGTCGCAGCTCGATGACGGAGGGGAGGAAAAAAAAACAACTCTCCTCTTCCTCGGAGCCGGTAGCGCTGGCGACAACAGTAGCCGCAAAAGCGAAACCGGAACGCCCAGCCGGCAGCAACAAAGTCGACGAAAACGAACAAAAACAGTCAAATCCACTTCAGACCGACAGCACGGAAAACAGCTCCGTGCCGATCTGCCGCCACTGCCATACCGATCGCCGTCATCGTCATCAACGCGATCGTCCTCGCCGCTTTCCCCGTTAGCGAAGCGCGGCACCGCGTGTTTATCCGTCAAAAAGAAGAAAAAAAAACCCCGACTATGACGAGGAGAGGAGGAAGAGAGAGAGAGAGAAAAAAAAAGAGCCCGAGCAAAGGAGCCGAGATTGTAAGGCGCGCGCGGCGCGTTTCAAGTCAAAAGGAGCGCACAGCACGTTCGCGCGCCCGCGTTTATTCTCCGCCGCGCTCTCTACCTCTCTCTCTCTCTTTCTGTACACACACTCGGCGATGATGACGGCTATACCTATGTATGGGTGCTCGCGAGCGCGCGTCCTTACGCCACTGCGATCGCCACGAGACTCGTCCCTCGGGCTACCCACCCTCTAGCCTATATAGCCTCGCCTACCCCCACTACCACCAGTCTCTCTCTCTCTCTCCTGATTTTCCCTTCTCCTTCTCCGGTGTGTATCTCTCATTGCCGCTCGTTCGCTTGGCGCACTGTTACTTGCACGGGTAGGTGATGCGTATGGGCCTCTGGGCCCCGAAAACCGAAAGTTCCTCATTCGAGCCTGTGTGGATGCGTACCATCTATACGTGCTGGACGAAAGAGATCCTTTCGAGAGAGAGGGAGATCCTGCTAAGCAAGGAGTGTCCACATGGGTTTAGATTTATGTAACGACCCCCCTCCCCCCTCACTCCCTTACCCCCGATCCATCCTTCATTTCGACCTTCTCCTCCTCGTTCATCTGGATATTATAGCGTATCTCTGTGGTTTCGAGGTGAATTTTGAATTTTGATATACTCCCCGGTCCACCGCAGGGGGTATAAATTTGCCGCTTTTTAGGAGCTTGTTTACATTGGGGGTGGGGGGCTTTTTTGCTCTCCTGTTTTATATTCGTCGACCCGTGTTTGTTTTGGCCCGCTGGGGTAACCCTGCCGATATACACCTATCCGTGTAATAAACACTGAAAAGGGGTTTCAGGGTACAAGTTTATTTGCGGTCCTAGATTTTTGTTGGGGGGTGGGATCTACGAGTATTCACGAGACACGTCGCGAGACGATTTCCTAACGAAATTTTGGATCAATGGCCTTTTTTCCTCTTGTTTGCGGAAGATTTACGATACGACGGGAGTGGAAGAGAGAGAGGGAAAAGGACGCGGTAGCGCCTCAGCACTCTAGAGCGCTGTCCGAGTGTACTTTGGATAAGATAAGCGTTATATCTTTTGGGTGATACCGGGTATTTCCTTGTCATTTTCTCACGGGCATCCGGATGTTGGATGCGTCAAAGTGTGGGAGGAAACTCCATTCCCATAAAAATTCTCACTTATTGAGCCCCGAGGAATTGCTTTTTGAAACTTGCATCATTCCCTGGTTGTTCTCGGTAAACCTGTAATCGCGTGACACTCTATGTTTCACTAAAACCCTTAGTTTCAGTCGCGCAACAGCTCACGTGGATTCACATCAGAGCTATTATCAAATTCTTACAACCGACAAGTTTTACCTAATACGCACAAACGAGGGAGATACTTATGGAAAAGCCTTTAAATTCGCATAACGAATCGTGTAACTTGTGTATGCACAATAAAGTACGCACGGCAGTAAAACGCGGACAGAAGATACACCCGTGAACCCCTCGCCCGGGTACTTAAACACCAACGTAAAAGGAAGTCGACGCATAAAAAGCCTCTCGACTGTTTAGCGCGAAGGCTTATTAATTTGCGCCTCGCGATGCCACATCATGATTATTTATACACGTACGAGCCCCTCGCTCTTTTTTGCTAGCATAATTTACGCTTCAATTATTTCTTACTTCTGGGCACGACACGTCCGCGCTTCTCGCAAGGGGGTTTACAAGTGCGACGTTAAGTGGACAAAAAAAAAAAAAAAAAAAAAAGTCACTCGTGAGCAGATCCACGGAATCGTGCCCATTTTCGGGGATGTACGTGTTTACGACGCAGGAAGTTAATAAAGCCGCTTATGGCGCTCCGTTGCGCCGCTCACTTTGTAGGTATATGTTTATGTACTCACGTGTGATAGCCGCTCTAGCTGTGGACGCTGGGGCTTGTGACGCAAAAAGTCGTTGCGGTGAGTTGAACACGAATATGCTTATGGGAACGCAAGCTGCAGTTATTAAAGTAGTTTTGATGTTTGTTATAATATAAGCTGATGCTGTCGGTACGGATGTTACGAATTTCAGGGTGATATCTTTCGGATGCACGAGTAAATGATCAAATTGCAAATACACGCTCTTGGAAACTTATTTGGCTTTTTTGAGTCTATAGATTAACTTGAGCAAAAATTGAGTCTGTCTGAGTGTGCAGAGAGGCTTTCGAAGTAAGTGAAAAGAGATTTTGAAAGTCTTAGGTCAGTGAATGATTAGGACAGTCATTTGGAAGTAAAAAGTTACAGAAACAACCATGTGAAAATCGCAGTGAAGAACAAGTGACTTGAAATTAGAATGAAAAATTGTTAATCAGATCAATAGCTGTTTTTTTCAATCTTTGACCGTGATTGGTAATACTTTATCGCGATTTTGGGTTAGCTGTTTTTTTACTGAAATTTTTCATCGGCTGCCTTTTTAGTAGACCTCACTTTAATACAAACAATCAGTTGGAATTTTTATTCGTTAATTTTATTTTTTTATTACTATTTGTGAAATGGTTAAGCTATTTTTTAAAGTGACATTGTAGTTTTATTATGTAAGCGTACTGCTAAAAAACAAAAAATACAAAAAAAAGTTTTTACCGATTGAATTACAGTACAAGGTATACAGCTAATTTTATTAATTTTAGTGTTATTAAAATCCCCATTACTAAATGTACATAAAGATACCATAATTGAGTTTGTAATCTTAATTATCTTCCAATGCTTCAATGTAATTTTTCATAATTTTTCATTATTTTTTATACGGTCAGTCAACGTCAAAAAAATTATACTCTTGAAATCATAACTTGATTAAGACTTTCTAGCTGTGATAAATAAATACCTGTCTCAGGACTGTTGATGAGTTAGTGAAAAGTTTTAATGGCCGATATGATACACTTGGTTCGTCTTTTTTTTCATATTTTTCTAAAAAATACTACGCAGTTTGGAAATTAATTAAATAATTCAACAGATAGATAAGAAATTTTTGCTGAAACAGTATTTCACAATAAACTACATCAGTCCCACTGTTAACGTATACTGGAAAACCAAGTTAACTGTAATTTGTAAACCAGTCACTGCTAAAAACAAATGTCAAGTATGTTTCAAATCTTGTATGCATAGGTGATAAATCATGATTACCTGTACATATATACGTAAAGGAAACCTTTTTATCGATACTTTTTGAATTTAATTGTGTAGAGTTTTTATGGAAATGAGTTAATGGATCAAATCAACATTTTCTATACACAACATACCGTAAGTTGTATCGTAGAACAACGTCTAAAACTAGAAGAAAAAAAACTTTAATGACGTAATTCCCATCATCTAAGCTCCAAAAATAAATAAAAGCCTGAATTTTTTGAAATACTTTCAGATATTATAAAAGCTTAAGTCCTGTTTTTGTAAAATTTACCAAGTTTTATGTAACATGAAAATAGGACCTGAGTTACTTTCACGTTTGACCGATAAGCTCTTATTGTTTTAGAGAAACTTCAGACAAAACTTCTTTCTAAGATTTTCGATTTTACTATTGATTTTAAAATCATTGGTATTAAAAATCGTAAGAAACATTTAAGTTTTTGTAAACTTCATTTTACAAAATAATTGTATACACGTAGAGGATAGTAATGAAATATGAAATGGTAATATTATTGTGTATCATTGGATCGCAACCATTAACTGAAAGCTAAATTAAACCCTTGAAAATAAATTGTAAGAATACACAGTGGAGTATGTAAACTTCAGTTAAGTATTTTACGAGTATGTAGGATAACCATCGTTGCAAGTGCATGTATTATTGTTTCTTCAATAAGGAGTATTCAAAGTGTCAAAGAAAGAAAAGGAGGAGAAATGAGCTTACAAATAAAAATTGAAAATAGACAGTGAAGCATGATTGCTGAACTTTTCTTGTAATACTGATGAAGCTAATATTTATTAGTTCATGTGTTCTTCAAGTTTACTTTTAGAAGAAATTCATAATTTTCCGCTTGTCTTGGAGCAAAAATGACTCAGTAATTCCTTAAAATTTTTAAGAGTATTGTCACGATAAATTATAGCTCTGAAAAAATCTTCCAAATAAGTGTACTTTTGGACTATACAAAAAAAGCTTGGGATCTGCAGTGCTGACTGCGTGATAATCTTAGAACTTAGAATTCTACGCACAGAGAGCTTTTTGAAAGTTAAGAGAAAAGTAATGACAAAAGGGCTGTCACAATAAACTTTGAATCTCATTTATTCCCTCAATTCGACCAGAATTGATTCCCATCAATCGCAGTAGAGCGGAAATCTAGGAGCGAAGCGAGCATAAAACAGAACCGCACGCCTGTGGGAAAACGAGCCTCAAATTGACCGAGGAAAAAAAAATAAAAAAGGAATGGAAGAAAGAAATGTCTCACCCTGAGTCGAACTCGGACAGACGAGGGACATAAAAAAAAGAGGGACCAGAAGCCGTCACACGTGCAGCAGGAAAGAAGCGTCTTCAAATTCACCGAGTGAGCTTGCAGACGCAACGTTACGTATATATACATATAGGATACATCGCATCTCCTACAAAAACGTCGCAGTGTCTCCTTCCTTGCCTAGTTTCTCTTTTCATTCCCTTTTTTTTTTGTTTCTGGTGAAACGAGCTCCCACTCGCCACCCAGGGCACAGTCGGAGTCAGTTTTAAAGGTCGAATCATGCTGCGAGGGTCCCTCCAGCGCGTTTTTAGCCACTTAGATTTATAATAACCCCC